GAGAGGTGAAGAAGGCGGTGGAGAGGGGCAGGGACGTGGAGAAGGCCGTGGGGAGGGGCAGTACACAGTCTACACATCAGGACTTGCCTCTTCAATGATGGCAATGGGTCAAAGTTGGCTGGATACAAGATTCTAGGACACCCCCACCCCCCACCGGACAATTCCTCCCGAACAATCCCCCCAAGACAACCCTCCCCCCCCCCGGGACAATTCCTCTTGGACAATCCTCCCAAGGCATCCACCACCGAACAATTCCCCGCAAGACAACCCCATCTCCCCCCCCCCCAAAAAAAAAAAAAACCCGCTGGTTTTGAATTATCTATATTATACATGTATTACATTTATACATTTCTTGAATGATTTACTGAATATATGAAAAGAGACAGAAAATGAAATAAAAACAAAAGTATTGGCTATAAATTACAAGAATCAGGAAGTTTGCTTACGCTCATAAACAGACCTGAGAGGCAACCTTAATTACATTTATTTAAGCAAATTTGGTCATTTGCCATTCTTGTCATTTTTATCAAACAACTACTACCGTTTTCTATGTTTTTTTTCTGAGAGCAAACAGACATCAATTTATCTGCATTTCATGTTAGTGAGGTTATTGAATAACAGGTTAAATAAATAATAATTTTATAAAACTAACTTTTAACTTTTATAACACGTAAATTCTCTGCAGAGGCTTTTACTATCTTTCCCAAGTTCTTCTGAACTGCTTCCCGCTTTAAAGCTGCCAATTTATCACCCAACCGTGTCGAGAGAGGAGGGAGGGGGTCCATTTAGGTAACACTCTTACGTACATGTCAAGTCAAGTCTCTTAAAATGGACCGGTCCAGTAAAAGGTACCGCTCTTCGGAAGACGACCTCAATTCAGACTCAAAGGATAACTCTAACCTGTCATCTCAGTTAACAATCTTTGGGAACTGCCACAGACAAAAAGTGCAACTCACTTAGGCCTACATGTATCACATATTGCTTTTAAAAATTCGAAACTAAATCACAGCATAGCTAAGAAAATCAAATTAAAGTTATGCATCGCTCCTGTCTGTAATGAATACACTAAAAGATCATATCATACAAATAAATTATGCTATATTCTGCCACGGAGCCGAAGGTGAGGAGGGCAGCCAATATGACCAATAGGTAGTCCTTCTACGGAGGGGGGGGGGGCGGGGGGGAGGGCGTTTTATTATTTTTGTTTTCAAAGTTTCTCGCTTCTCCACCAAAGACTGGTGGATAATTGGCCAGAAAAATATATGAGACATTTTAATGAACAATTCTCTGTGTGGCCCTGGTAGGGGTTACTAGTGTCCTTCCTTCAACAATACAAGTGAAACTCCGCTCCAGCTGATTTTGATGCCGTCTCAACCATGATTGTGACGGATTCCACAAATATCAGCCCATTGTGTTAGTGAAGACAACGTGAGACGGGGAGGGAGATAGCATGTACGTGTATTGCAATGATTAGAGTGTTTGAATGGGAATGTGGTGGGGGAAGGGGGTAGGATAACGGGGATGGATGTAGGGGAGAGGAAGGGAGACACAAAAAGATCAGTTCCTTACAACATTCGTACTAAGTCAAGGGGAACAAATATTTTCAGGTTGTCCACGACAGTATGTAAGAGGTTTCTGGAAACTCACCTCAGCATACTTGTGGCGGTGTAAGTAAAAGTAGCAGTGCATGTAGTAGTAGACCTACAAGATGAAGTCGTCCACTGTGGTAGTTATAGTAGTATTTATAGTGGTAGTATAGAAGGCAATGTAATTACTGACATAGGCTGTACATGTATATAGGCTAAGTATAGCAAGGCTGACACTTGCACGATTCTGTGGTACGCTCAAACTGGTCGTTAACTGGCGTGAAGTGTGCGTAAACCCGTCGTGACCGCGTGCCATGTCGGGACGAGAATTTTGAAATGTTTAAAATTTTGGTCACGACAAAATTTCGCAACCGCGTCGTGAGCTATGCACAAACTGTTCGTGAACTCGTCGTGAACTCGTCGGGACGATGCGGGAGGATGCGTGCCAGTGCGTGGCAGTGCGCGCCATGCCACGACTGTTACGAACTACCACGAATAGTTCACGAACAGCTCACGTCGAGTTCACGACATGTTCACGAATTGGTGTCCGTCGCAGCATTGCCGTGCCTTCCCAACAAAAGGACAACGAAAAAAAAAAAAAAAAACCAAAACAAAAAAAACAACAACAAAGCTCCCCCCACTCCCTCCCCTCTCAAGAAAGTCCCCTCACCCAAAAACGAAATCCTTCGTTTCTTGCGTTTCTTTTCCGTTTCTCTTTCTCTTCCTTTCTCTTTTTGTTTACTTTCATTTCTTCGTTTCTTTCTTTCTTTCTTTCTTTTTGGTGAGTGGGGGAGGGGACTTCTTTTCTCATTATTTCTTTTCAGTTTTTAAATTTTTTCTGACTTCCTTTCTTTAATGTCTTTTATTTCCTATTTCTTCTTTACTTTTTTGGTGGGGGAGGGGGAAGTTTCATTTCTTTTATTTCAAAAATGGAACAACTGTAGATGCAGCTCATGGAGCTACTACCATTCTTTCTTGCCAAGGGACAGCACCAGCAGGGAACATGTAGTAATGTGATAGTTAGTCTCGGCTAGTCATGGCCAGTTAGAGGCAGCAGCCCCTGCAGGTGTCGGTCAGTCCTCCATCCACCAGTGATCGGATCATGTGTGTCCGGATCTTTGCGGTCCACTTCTGAAATTGCGTGTGGGTATCTGATGAGGATGAGGTTGTGCAGGTCACAGGCGCACATGGTGATCAGTGTGATGGTGTCGGGGTGCTAATGCATCATCGTCAAGAAGCAACGGAACCTTTGACACAAAAATCTAAAGGCATTCTCCACGACACGTCGGGCACGAGACAGCCTGTAGCTGTATATGCGTTCTCGTAGGACCTGTGACCGATGGGAGAATGATTTCATCATCCAGTTTCGGAGAGCAAAGGCTTCACCTTTACGAAGTGATAGGGCACTGGCTGGTCATCATTAGCGAGTGGTTCTGGTTGAGGGACTCCAGCTCTGTTCTCTTCTACAGCATCATGCAGGTAACAGTTACTCCATGTTCCTCCATCCTACGCACCACCCACTGCCCTAACATGCACATAGAGGAACTTGTAGGTAGCATCTGCCACTGCCATCAGTACAATGCTGTGGAAGCCCTTGTAGTAGTAGTAGTAGTAGTAGTAGTAAGAGCCGGCATTGGGTGGCTTCTTAATTGCGATGTGCTTGCCGTCCACAGCCCCCAGACAGTTGTGGTAGTTCCATCTGGAGCTGAACCTGGCAGCAACGTCCTTCCACTCCTCTTCAGTTTTGTAGCAGCTTAGCACTTCGTCCTTGTAGACCGCGATGATGGCTTTACACACCTCAGGTATGCACTTGCAGATGGTACTTGCTTCAACCCTGAAACTGTACTGCAGACTTGGATAGGAATTTCCAGTGGCTAGGAAGCGGAGGGTGGCAGCCAGCTTGAGTCTAACTTGAAGCAGTGCCCTCATGAAGGTGGACTGCTTCTGGAGGCGAGGGGTTAACTTCACAACCATCTCTTGGAACAGGTCAGGTGTGATTCTGAGGTAATTTTTTTGGCCCCTTTGATCTTCCTTGTGGAGTTCATTCAGTAGACTGTCATACTGTCCAAACTCGTGCCTTCTGGTCAACCATTCCTTGGCCCACACTTTCCTATATGTCTTTATTAGAGGTGGGATTGCCTTTTCTTGCTCTTCTGCCTCTTCCAGCCTTTTCTGCTACTCTTCAAAAACGGCTAGAGCAGCTGCCAGCTATAGGCATCTTCTCTTCTCTGCAATGATTGTGTCTCTGGCATTCATCATGTTCTCTCTTCCAAAGCCAATCCAAAAATGACCAGGGGTTGGGGAGGCCCCCTTTTGATTTAATTCTTAGGCATGTTAACAGTCTCATTATGGAACTAATTAGATATGTAAAAGTGTTGTTTTGACATTTTCTGCTTCTTTACAAAATTGTTAGTTGATTATATAAAAATGACGGTACACCTTTTATTGTGCATTGTGTAATAAAGTATCAAAAATGGAATAACACTCATATCATTGCAGTTCGTCAGATTCAATCATTCACCAAGTTAAGAATCTCAGAATGGAGCAAGTTGGACATTTAAATTTGTTCTATTGATATTTTTCCTTTGACAACATATTTTAATTGATCATATAAAAATGACAGTAAATCGATTATTTTGTTTTATGTAAAAAAGGTGTTGAAAATGGAAATAAAACTCTTTTCAATACAGTTTTCTCTTGTTTAGATTTTGGGATTTTCAAAGTGTGACTCTGAACTCTATGGGCTAGTCACATTTGCTTGAATATCCATGATAGTTTTATTTTATCATTAAAAAACTGATGGTTATTATGCGGTAATGTACAGACACAGATGTGTCTGTACATATAGCCATCACCTGCGTCTGTCGTCGCCGTCGTCGTCGCCGTGCACTTTTACCAATAACACGATAAGTGGAAAACCGTTTTTTCTTTTGGTTTGAAACTTACAGAATTGATGAATATTCATAATGCGCAGGTCTATTTCGAAAATCAGCATGATCGAGCCATTTTTAGGAAAGTTATTCTGTTTTTTCCATTATTCAGCATAAATGCAACACTGATAACGCATTTTAAGGAAAACCAATTAGCCTTTTGCCTTGAAACTCACAGGTGTGATCAGTCTGACTAGTATACAGATCAAGTTTGAAAATAAACTTGATCAGTTAAGTTTTGATGAAGTTTTTAGCCTTTTGTATATAAGTAGTTTTTCTTCAGATTTAATTCTTAGGCATGTTAACAGTCTCATTATGGAACAAATTAGATATGTAAAAGTGTTGTTTTGACATTTTCTGCTTCTTTACAAAATTGTTAGTTGATTATATAAAAATGACGGTACACCTTTTATTGTGCATTGTGTAATAAAGTATCAAAAATGGAATAACACTCATATCATTGCAGTTCGTCAGATTCAATCATTCACCAAGTTAAGAATCTCAGAATGGAGCAAGTTGGACATTTAAATTTGTTCTATTGATATTTTTCCTTTGACAACATATTTTTAATTGATCATATAAAAATGACAGTAAATCGATTATTTTGTTTTATGTAAAAAAGGTGTTGAAAATGGAAATAAAACTCTTTTCAATACAGTTTTCTCTTGTTTAGATTTTGGGATTTTCAAAGTGTGACTCTGAACTCTATGGGCTAGTCACATTTGCTTGAATATCCATGATAGTTTTATTTTATCATTAAAAAACTGATGGTTATTATGCGGTTAAGCATTGTGTAATATTGCATCAAAATTGAACAAAACCCTATTTTGGGCACTGCCTGAAAGGAAAACCATGTCACTTGCTCTTTTCACACTTAAAGGAAAGAAACATAGGACTGAAATACAGCTTCAGTTGGAAAATCTGTCTCATTAGTTAATTTTCTGGAAGTTATAGAGTTTTTTTTTTGTGAAAATTTTTATCTTTCATATTAGAAAACCAGCTCCATTGGATTATCATTTTTTATTAAATTCATGCATCTTTTGTGAAATTTTCATTTTTCTCATTCTGGCACTTTTTAAGTATAAACATGAACTCTGATGGGCCTGAAGCCTTATGCTTTTACTTTCATCGGTGTTACTTGTTGTGCATAATTAAAATTTGATGTTGACTGTGCAGTTAAACAATGTATTATTGCATCAGAATTGGTAGTCTCCTATTTTGTGCATTATTGTTTTGTGCTTTTCGTAAGGTGTGACTTATGGGCCTGAAGACCTTTGAGAGGGTCAGTCTGTAAATTTCCCTTGGGTATCAGTAGATTAATTTGAGAGTTATAAAGTCATTTGCCTAATTAATAGGCCATTAAATGAGATTGCATAATGCACACTTGTTGGTATTTCCCTGTAAAGTCCCAAAGGTTAAGCTCTCTGCTAGATTATTAATAAGGAAGCAGTGATAATTATGCAGGTAAATTTTGTTGGTCAAAGATTGAATAGCAGCTTCATTGGAATTATATTTACCTCTGCCAAGGAGGTTATGTTTTCACCCCTGTTTGTCTATCATCAACATAACTCCAAAAGTTACGGACCAATTTTGATGAAATTTGGTGGTCTGGATCAATAATCAATCAATAATCAATAATAATAAAAAATTGCTGCCTTGGCAGAGGTCTGGGCTCTTGGAGTGCTTTTCTAGTTTTGTTATGTTTTCCTTTTTTAATTTTTTCTCAAACACTGGCATTTGTGACTTTTAACTCCCATACGCCTGCACATTTTCTGTATTTCCACATAAGCAGTTGTATTGGTTTTTATGTCTTTAAACATTATGTAATATTATTTTATGCACTGTCATCATTTTTCAAACATTGGGACTTTCATCATGTGAATTTGAAAACTCATGATCCTGAAACTGTAATCTTATTGAAGGGGTGGATTGAGACTATCTGACTATCTTCTGGGTCTTCCGGAAGACGGTCAGGTTTTTAAGTTTATATTGAGCGGTATCTATTTTTTTTCTTGTTGGAAGACCATCAAAATGGAGGATAGATCAACATAGATACTTTGGAATGCTGTCAGAATATATCTCTGGGTCCGCTCCTGTTATTGACCATGTTACCTGTTGTGCATGATTAAAATTCAGAGTGACTGACAGTGCTATTACAAGCATTATTTATTATTGCATCAAAATTGACAAAATGACCTATTTTGCATCTTTATTTTCTGGGGTTTTTTTGTCTGTACATTTGACAGCTTTGCTGCCTTGTTATATTGCTTGCCCAAGTCGGCACGACACCGTCCGAATTGCGCAAACTCGTCGTGCCACTGCGGAAAGTGCGTAAAATATGCGCAAACTATGCGTGAACTTGTGCCAGTTCGTGTCAATGTGGACACGAATTCGTGATCTGTTCGTTAGCTCGTTGTGAACTCGTCGTAAACTATGCGTGAACTAGTCGGGAACAGTGTGGGAGCCTCCCAATTCGTGCCCCAAAATGGCACGACTTGCGAAGACAAAATCGGGGCCAAAAGTCGTGCAAGTGTCAGCCCTGCATAATACTCACTCCACACACAAACAGTTTTTGATAATGATAAAAATATGTGACCGAAATTTCTCTCAGGTGCGCCCGCAAACATTTCAAAAACTGTACGCATAATTCCCGACCAATATATTAAAAATTTACCAGATATCTAATCCTAGTGTACATTTGTAGTATACGATGTCCGTACGGTGCCCATATGCCATCACTCGTGCGGCGTCCGTTATACTTAACCTCAAAGTCATGTGGGACAAATGGAACGGCGCCCGTGCCGAACGTATAAGCATGCTAGTCCATAGACACTTTTACAGTGCAAAAAATACGGAAAATTGATTTCAATTCCATATGGCGTTTGAGAAAAATGTAGCCTAGGCTTTAGCAGAACGCTGATAATGATTATCCCCCCAATGTCGATCTCCGACATTCGTACTAGATACTTGTGTGTAATTTAATATTGTCCATCAAAATTTTCCTGCTTATAATTGAATTAATTTGGTTTTTGATTTCATTAATGCCTCGACTAAACCTATTTTAACTTTTCTGTTCCCACTCTTTCTCGCACTCGTTTTTAACCTCTTAATCTTTCTCGCTAGCGCAAAATATGTTCACTGCCACTGTGAAGACATTTCAAATGAACAATCTCAGTTTATACGGAAAATGGGCCAAAGGCTTCCCTCTATCAAGGCCGCAGTTATTATGCTGTGGACATTTTTTTTTTTTTTTTTTTTTACAGTACAGAGATTAGCCATCTATTTAACCAGAGATGCATCTTTGAATATCTAGTAAAAATCAATCTATGGCCCTGGTAGAGGGTGGCCACAGGCTGTGGTGTGTTGATATTGATGCTGTCTCAACCATGATTGTGACAGACTCCACACATCACCCTGAAATGTTTATAAAGAAATGGAAATTGGAAATGACAACATGCTATTTTAATTTAAATTAGATGGCGACGAACCTTTCAGTAGAGAAAATTGGATTAAAGGAAATATGTTGAAATAAAACGGCACAAAATGATGGGGTGAGGGTATGATGATGGTATAAAAGGTTTGGGAGAATCGGAGAAATTGAGTTTTGAGAGCGTTCGGGTGTTTACAGGTGCCCTTTAACTTTAACACACCAGATTATACAAATTTTTGTCTCTAAAAAAACCCTGTACAGATTATCTTTTTGTACCGTATGTTTCAACTGTAGTAATTCATAGGATGCTTTCCCACAGATTTAGAACGATCTAAAGATTAAAATTTAGATCGACCTAACGCCCTGGGGGTTCACGCTAAATTGCAGTCAGCCGAGCGGGCACCATAGTTAATTACCCCCTTACAGCTTTTAGTAGGCGGGACAGACGCTTAAGCCGGCCAAGCTGACAGTAATCTAGTGAGACTCCCCACAGGAATAGATCGATCTAAAAATCTATGGAAATGGGGTGTTAAAGATTAACTTTGAAGATGACCGTCAACGCTACGAAAGGAACTAAAATTAAAATAGGTTAAAAATGAAACATAAAGTGCCGA